TGCAGAATGCTGAGTACTATAAATCTTTGATTTGCACCTAACGCATAACTACCAGCACTGGCCGGGGCCAGGCACGAGCACCAATTAGCTTCTTCCTTCGACTCCTGGTGTTCTCCAACCACAGAGCATGTACTCCACTAACAGGTGCAGGTTCACAGCCAACTTCACAGCACCTTTTGTAACAAAGCATTTCACTTTCATTTCCTCAACTATCCTATAAAATGCCAAGTAAGAGTACACTTAGAGCATTTTAAAGCTATTTTTTTAAAAAGCATAGCGATTAGTTACCCCCAAGTGGATGTACATTGAAAACAGTTCATCTCAGGAAATATTATTGCAAGTGGAAGTTTCCACTGCTTCTGCCCAAAGCTCTAACAGACTCCAAGGTAGGCCCTGCAATGCCCTCCAGGCTGTCCCTGTCCACTGAACACACTTTCTAGGACCTGATTGCTTTGCACAGCTCTCCTGCACTGGATTCAACAGGCTTAACAAAATGGAGTTACTCACGCCACAGTCCCACACCACCAAGCCTGCACCGTTGCTGGTCAAACCTTCCCATAAATCAGCGGAGATAACACAAATGCCCTAACAGACCCCTTGTAAGCAGTGAAGGAAACCCCTCCGGTCTGACTATCATAAGCTCTGAAATAATCAGTCTTCTTGCTGTGTTCCATTTTTGTTTTCATTATTCTTTTCTGTGCAGGAAATCAGCCTCTCCTGCTTGACTTTTTCAGCACTTGTATTATCTCTAGGAGGTATCGCCCAACTCAAGAATCACAAACAAAGCCAGTTGAGGCCGGCATTACAGCACAGCAGGTGAAGCTTCCTGTAGGAGTTCCAGTTCATGTCCTGGCCACTCTATTTCCGACCCAGCTTTCCTGCTAATGGCCTGGGAAAGGCAGTACCACAGACGCCCCCAAGTACTTGGGCCCCTGCCACTCTTGTGGGAAACCCAGAAGAAGCTCCTGGCTTTGGATTGATCCAGCCCTGGCTGTTGCAGCCATGTAGGGAACAGGAGCTCTCTCTGTCTCTCCCTGTGCCTCTGTGAACCTGAGTTTCAAAAATCAACAAATAAATCTTTCCAGAATAACTCCAACTGAGATCTTTACACTAAATATCTCATAATTTTGTCTTTGGACAACACGAAGTGACCATCCTTAAGCCCCACCTCCAATTTTGGGTGCTTATTCTCATCAGAAGGCAGCAGCTCTTTCCTGAGGAAAGTACACAGCAAGACAGATAACCACACACACAAAACATCACTCTTTCAGCAAACATCTAATTCCCCGCAAATCACTTTAGATTACAGTCCTCTTATTATAAAACTGTAAACAGAGGCAACACACTGCCTCAGGCCGGCAGTAAGGATCAGGGAAGCAGCCGGCCACCTTCACTAACATGTGAGCAAACATCCTGCAACCCACGCGTCAGACAGCGGACACCTCCATCAGAGTGCACCTCCATCAGAGTGCATCTCCATGCAGGGCAGAAGCACGGCTTTGTGATGAGATCACGGCTGAAGGACTGAGGGAGCCTCCCTCCCGCCACCTGTTGGGAACATTGGCCCCGCCCCGTGGCCACAGCTACAGCTCCACATCCAGCCCCAAAATCCCTACCAGGGAGATAAAGAGAAGCTTATTCAGGGGGCATGAAGCAGGATGCGCCAGAGGCAGGAGCGCAGATTGTCATCCCAACTCTGCAGGATGAAAACACTCCTTCAAAGATAAATTTTAAAAAGAAAAAAACAAAAGACAATTGAAGGGAAATGTGAGGCATTGTTTGTCACCTGCATTTGGGTCATCTGGTCTTCCTGCCTTCCTTAGCGGCCAAAATGGCCAGGTTCTCCCTAAATGAAACCTGACAAGTCAGTGAACAAGCCATTTCCTCCCAGCTTTCACACACAGATGTCACCAAGACCAACTGGTCCAATTTAACCGACAGGTACCCTGCATAAAACCAAGAATTGTTTCTCCTGCATCTAAATTCTGAGTAAGTTTTGATTATCAAGTGAGTCATCAAAAGTTCCACTTTCCATTTCAGCTACTCGGCCTGAGAAGTCAACTAGTGTGATGTCCTTCGAGATACAGGAACTTAGCGAACAAAATGAGCAGGAAGAAGCAAAGCAAACTACACTGCTAAACAGGCAGTACCAGACAGAAGGTTTGTTTAAAGTGCTAACAACCTTTAATTCATGCCAAGCATTCTATTCTAGGGGAAAATGTTGTGTTAGCCTAAACCTTCCCAGATGTCCCAGGCCCACCAGGAAAGGGCAAGAGGACTCACACAATCACCCAACACGCTCATTGAAGCCACTTTGCATGTGACATATCATCTACTTCAGATTCAAGTCAGCTTGTAATTGAAATGTTAAAAAGCTACACTAGTTCTAGCAAAGAATAGAAACCAAACTGTCCAGCTCCATTCCCCACCAAATTGTTCAGTTACTATCTGATACATGAAACTGATCTTGATATTAAGCTTAAAGGTCCGGCCCGGCATGGTGGCCTAGTGGCTAAAAGTTCTCACCTTAAATGGGCGCCAGTTCTAATCCCAGCGGCCTCACTTCCCATCCAGCTCCCTGCTTGTGGCCTGGGAAAGCAGTGGAGGATGGCCCAAAGCCTTGGGACCTTGCACCCTCGTGGGAGACCTGGAGGAGGTTCCTTGCTTCTGGCTTTGGACCAGCTCAGCTCTGGTCATTTGCAGCCGCTTGGAGAGTGAATCAACAGATGGAAGAACTTCCTCTCTGTCTCTCCTCCTCTCTGTATATCTGACTTTCCAATAAAAATAAATACATCTTTTTTTTTTTAAGATAACGGTCAAACAGTATCCCCCCAATTTGATCATCTGTAATCAAACCCATGGAGCAACTGTCATTCCTTCCTTCTTGGCTGTAACTGTTGGCTGAGGGCCTACTGTGTGCCAGGCAGCATGCCACACAGCCAGATACTGCCCGAGCTGAGCCCTGGGAACAGCCAGGAAAGCACTGAGGCCACCAGTGAGCCCTTAGAGCTACGGGAGCCTGAGGAATCAGAAACGGGGCCCAACTGGGCAGAGTGATGGGTGCTGAGTCACTGCGTCCTCGCGTGATGTCCCTTTTGAGGACACGTGGGTCTTCAAAGCCCGAGTGATAAATTTTGCTGGTGGAATTGAAAACCAACCTTGTATTCCAAGGAGGCATTTAAGTGTATTGATTCACCTCCAAATTGATAACCGGGCAGTGTGCCAACAAGCTCAATAATATTATGGATGTCACTTAAGTCATTTTTCCCCCCCCTGAAAGGATGCTGGTTGGCTACTTCACGATGCTGGTGGCTAGAATGGAGGAGGATGTGACTATGGAAGAAGGACAAAGAGAACAGAAGAAACATCTTCAAGAAAGTCAAGTCTCTTGAGAAGTGGGTAATTCCTATGTGTTTCAGGAGCAACAGTTAGTAAGACCCAAAGGAATATAAAAGCCAGGGGCGGGGGGTGGGCAGGGAATATGTTCCATGATTACCAGGTTTTAACAATAAGACCATAAAACTACTATCAGTCACAGAATGCAAGCACTGCCAGGGAGGCATCTGACAGCGGCCTGCGTGGATGCCTGCGACATGTGACTTGGCCCTCGAAGGACCCAAGATTCCAGAAGCTAGTTTAGGAACATCCAGATAGCAGAGGCACAGCTAGAGCTTGTTCTTGCCTAGGGACCACGGATTTCACAAGTAGTTGTGAATTAAGACCAGAAGTAAAACTAGCTGATGGACAGCAAGTCTCCCAGCTGGCCTCGGACTGCTGAAGCAGCTGAAGACACCTGGGTCACTGTTGCTTAAAATTGTAATTCATCCAGATTTCAATTTAATTTCTTTTCTTTCTTTCTTTTTTTTTTTTTTTGTACATTATACACATCCACACCTCCAAAACGAATCGTTGATAATCTCCTCTACTCACTGTCCTCACAGCAGACTTCCTTGTTTCTCAAGTATGGTTCTCTACGTCTTTCTATCAGGAGATCATAAAACATGCTGGGTGTGGTCTTGCTGGTGAACACACAGGTTTGGAAAACGATCTGCCTGCCGGCTGTGGTGGCCCCGAAAAACTAGTACAAAGAACCCCATGAAACGCAGCATCTCCGGGGGTTTCTGCACTGCCCCCCCACACACACACATACACATCCTCCCCCACGCCCCAGCCTCCATAGAAGAAAGCCTAGGGAAGGCTTGCTGGCCACTGACCAAGTCCTTTGGAGAACTTGTAACCACCCCACCAGTATTTGTTTATCCCGTGGAGCTCACAGGCCATGAACCAAAAGAAAATCAGGGGCAGGACGCTGGCTGGTTTGCAAAACCTGTCATTCCTCGTGGAGACGGAGACGCAGCGTCTATCCAGGTTCTCCCTGGCTCACAGGGAGCTACATCCCAGGCGCTCTGCACCAGGAGGTTGTATCTCTTCCAGCAGCTACCGCAGAGGACTTGGGTACCAAACCGCTCGCTCGGGGCGCAGCTGGAGCCCGGAGCAGTGCCCAGCAACTCTGCAGGCCCCTAGCACCTGGGCCCTGACCCTATAGCATCTCCGATTCGGCCCGGGGAGAATGCGGGGCGAGGAGCTCCAGACGCTCGGCAAGGGGTTCCATACTCCACAGACGCCCCACGCAGCTTCCCCGCCTCGGGCTGACCCGCCCGACCGAGAGGGAGGGGAGAGGCTGAGGAGTAGCAGTGGCAGGAGGCAGATTTTATTACTGCGGCTGGTGCAGTCGCCTCCCCGAGAGACCCGCGACAAAGATGCAAACCCCCGCACCCCACCCCTTGCCGCGCGCTCGCTGCGTTGGTGGCCCCTCTCCCGCGGCAAAAAGACCCAGAAAAGCCTCCAAAGAGCTGGTTCCGGCTCCGAGTTTGCAGAACGGTTGGTTGGACCGACCAGGAAGTTCTCAGCCGGCAGCCATCAGAGGGACCCTCACTCCCCTCCCCCCGCCCCCGGCTCCCGGCTCCCGGAGGCAGGTGGCGCGGCGAGCCCGCCGGTACCTTGGCCGCCGGGTCCTCAGCGGCGATGGCGGGATCCTCGGTCGTGCAGGGCGCCGCCTCGGCCGAGGGGCTACCGCCCCTGGACTCGGGCTCGGCCGGTGTGGTGTCCTCGGCCGGAGGCGGCTCCGGGCTCTGCTGCTCAGTGGAGCTCCCGGCGCCCATGGTTCCTCGGTGGTTCTCGCGCGCCCAGCCGCAGGGTTACGCCTTCCTCAAGTCGTAGGGCTGCAACCGGAGCGAGAAGTGGTGCGCTTGCCAGGTCCCGGGAGCGCTTTGCCCTCCGTTGTGCTGCGGACGCGCGCAGACTGCGAATGAAGGAGACGCGCTCCCGGCAAACTCCTTTAAAGAAAAAAAAAAAAAAAAAGCCACCTCTGAGCCTCCTCCCCCGCTCGCCCGGTCTTTCCCTTGCTCCATCACATGAGCACAGCCCCGGACACGCCTTGCAGCAGCATCGAGGACCAGAGGCGGGCGAACCGCCAGCCCCAGGGCGCGGGGAGCAGCCTGGCCCGCCCCCAGGGTGCCTCCCAGTCCTACCAGGGGCCGAGGGCCGAGGGCACTATCAGGCAGTGGGGGATCCCAGCCGCCCCGGTACTCGCGGGGTTAGCTGGTCTGGGTGATGGATCACCCGTGGCGGCAGTGAGCCCACACTCCATTTGCCTTCCTGCACCCTGTGTTTGAACATTTTGCGCCTGCCTCCTCCCCGTGAGCAGAAGGGTGAGCGCCCCCCAGACTCCTCGCAGCATGACCATATTAGGGCGGCTCACGTGGCAGGAGCTGGGGGGACCAAGACACTAAGGCAGTGAAGGGAGGTGGGTCAGGGGAGTCCCCAGGGCTCAGCATCTTGCTGAAACCAGGGACGTCAGCTCATGCCATCTGCAGCCTCCCGGGAAACGTGGAATCGAGGGGCTGTTCTGGACGCGCCTCCATTCCCAGTCCACGACCTCATGACTGCGCGCTCCTGCAGTAGTGTGCAGAGCTGATCATTTGCCAACTGTATTTTTTCAAAGATGACAACTTGAAATAATACCAGCCTAGGTGGCTTGTGTTGAACCCCCATCATTCCCATTGCACGTGCAAAGCAGGCCATCTTTACGTATCATATTAAAATTTTAATTGAATTAATTGGCACAGAAATGCAAAGGTGATGAGGCGCCAAGACTAGAATGAACTCAGCTGTAACTGGTTACTAAGTGCTTCGGTTTCAACAAAGAGCTGAAGTCTCCATTATAAAACTGAAACTTTGTGGAGCCGCTTCTCTGTGCAAACTGTAACATCAGCATCCCATAAGGGAGCTCACTTGAGTCCCAGCTACTCCCTTGTCTGTCCAGCTCCCTGCTAATGTGCCTGGGGAAGCAGCATTAGGTGACCTTGCCACCCAAGTAGGAGACCAGGATAAAACTCCTGGCTCCTGGCTTCAGCCTGGCCCAGCTCTGCTCAACTGGGGCAATTTGAGGAGGGAACCAGATGATGAAATCTCTCACTCTGTCTCTCTTTCTGTCTCTCCTTCTCAAACTCTGCCTTTGTAATAAAAATAAACTTTTAAAAACACTAAAGTAAAAAGTTTAAAATGAAAGGACTTTCAAAAAACTGACCTTAGCCACCAGATACCCGCTTTACATTCAGAGTTGGTGTAACTCAGCGGAGGGTCGGTGACTCAGTGTTAACAGTGGCTCACCAGCAGGATATGTTGCACCTGTTGTACTCCATGTGGTGTGATGGCACCCCAGAAACCAAAAGTATGCCCTTTTAGCCTAGAATTTGCTTTCTGAATTAGATTTTATTCAAAGGATTGTACAGAGGCTAATTTCTCTGGAACTGATCCCTAAGATACAGCATCCTGGGACCGAGGATTGTAGCTCAGCAGGCAAGAGGTAGGAACCAGGCATCCTACATGGAACCAGGACTCTTGGAGTCCCAGCTACTCAGCTTTCCATCCAACACCCTTCTAAATGCAGACCCTCGTGGCCACACTTCGTAGGTCAGGTGCTTCAGTCCTGTTGCACCTGACTGCCCTCGGGGACTGCGTTGAGTTCCAGGCTCCTGACTTGTACCTGGACCTCCCTTGGCCGCTGTTGACAGCTGGGGAGCAGACCAGAGAATGGAAGATCTCTGTTGCTCTGCCTTTCAAGGAAGTAAAAAGAATAAATCACATCAAAAGGAAAAAGAAGCAGCATATTTGTCAAATGCTTGCTTTTTGGAACTTTATTTTAATTCATATATATTTTCATTTAACTTTTCAGGAGTTCTTCTTTGGAGTCACTCTTCAGAGCACTTTGCCTCTGCTCTCGTATAACCCGTCCTGATACTAATCCTATAGCCTGCATGCTCTTTCCCTGCCCCTTTTTACCAAGGGCTGGGGTAGCAGGCTCAGAGAAACTAAACCATGAAGTCAAGGTTTCGTAGCTGATGATGGACAAGTATGGCATACAGCCTGCGTCTGACCTCAAAGTCCACACCCTCTCCCGGCATGGCCCTTCCCTCCCCTTCTGTAAGGAATTTCCAGGCACTGCTCTCTTATCACGGGGATGCTAGCAAAAAGTAGCACTTGGATCTGGCGTAGGACGGTGAGAACCAAAGACTGCCGTCAAGCCCCCCATCAGCACATTTGGAAAATGTAGCAGTAAGTAGTACAAAAGCTACCAACATTCTCCCATTCTGTGAGATTACATTGATTTGGGTCTTGGGAAAATCTTAACAAAGCTTTTCTCATCTGCTAGCCTTCCAATGTTCAAAAAGGAATAGAAGGTCGAAGACTGCGTGCAACACTACACAGCCCACGTGGAAGGAAGAATTGACCATGGCAACCGAATCTGCAGCTGCTTGTTTCATGCCTGTTTTCCAGGCTTTGAAATATTCATATTTCTAAATTATAGTGATCTCAAAGACAGGAACAAGTTAGATCTGGGCTAACCTTAGTTAGCTAAAGCTAAAACTCTGGAACTCAATCCAGGTTTCCCACTCCTAAGCATGGCAGGCACCCAGGTACCCGAACCCTCCCCTACTGCCTCCCAAGGCTGGATTAACAGGAAGCTGGGACAAGAACCAAGCTACTCAGAAGAGGGTATGGATGCCCCAATGAGCAGCTTAACTTCTAGACCAAATGCCTACCCCTTCATGATACTTTTTAAAAAAGCAAAATTTTGTTTTAAATGATGTACATGGTCTAGTATTTCTGTTCTGGTTGAGACAACTCTGAATAATAGGCTTGTTTATAGATTCATACAAGCCTGTGCAGAACCACTTCGCTTTCTGGACTGATGAAAGAATCCGTTTCATCTTAATTACAGACCAAGAAGTTAGCTTCATATTGAGCTATTTTAGTTAAGAAAAGTGATCATTGTTAGTGCTGGCATGGTAGCATGGTAGACTAAGCTAGCTAGTGATGCTGGCATTCCATTTCAAAGTACCAGTTCAAGTCCATAGTGTACTCTGCTTCCGATCCTGCTTCCTGTTTAATGTACTTCAGATGACAGCTCTAGTGCTTGGGATGCTGCCATGCCTGCGGGAGCCCAGCATGGCACTCCCGGCCCCTGGCTCCAGCTTGGCTTAGATGTGGCTGCAGCCACTCGAAAAATACCGGATATGTTGTCTCTCTTTGTCTCTCTCTTTCAAATGTGTGTGTGTGTGTGTGTGCGTGCGTGTGTGTAGAGTGGTAATGTTTTTTTTTATTATCCCTAGGAGTGATATATATCTATACTGCTTAATGGCCGCAAATATTACAAAGCTCATTTTCTCTCTCATTTATTCTCATGACTCGTATCTCCTGAGTGTTTCCCACTGCGCCGTCTGATCCTGGTTCTGAATCAAGTCACCAAGGTTTCCTGCAGGTCAGAGGTGCTTGCAGAACTGCTGGGACTGCTGGTCCCGCTGCACGGAAAGGCAGCTGGCCTGTGTTTGCCACCCCTCGGGCCAGCTGTCACTTACCAGCCCTGTCACCCGACAGCCCTGTCTCCACCCTCCCAACAGCAGGATGCAGATGTCCCCACACAGCCTGTCCCAGGGGGCAGCGGGTGAGAGCGGCCTCTCTCACCCGTTCCCTGAGCTTGCTCCTTCTCTCTTAAAAATAGTTTGAGATCTCTTAAAAACAAAACAAAAATTCACTGCCCGTGCAACAGGCCGAACTTGCATTTGGTAGGCTTACTTCTCCAGAAAGACTGGTCACACGAGGTTTTCCAATAAAATTTAGAGGTCTCGCTGGGCAGCTTTTGTACGCATCAAAACATCTTCACATACAACATTAAAGAATTTGTAAATGTCAAACATTTTGTAACTGAGTTAATAACTTTCCTTACCAAGAGCAATAACAATTAAAATGATTAAAACAATCTAAAGCCCAACCTCCATTCTATCCCTAAGATTCTCACCTTAGCTCCAGAGCCCTGGGGCAATCTCACTCACTCTTGGCAAATCTTTACCTTGAAACTTGCCTCTCTTATCACTTCTTTGTGTTCCCTGAATAAAACGCCTACTTCTTTCTAAACCAATTGCAGCCCTCTAGCTATCTCTGGGGGTGGATGTTTGGCCCGGCAAGGTGCAGCCTTATCACAGGGCCTGTTTCAAGTCCTGGCTTTCTGCTAAAGCGGGTTCCGGGAAGCTCAGGGCTCCTACAGGGCAAGGGCTTGATCTTTGCGACCGCCATGGGGTCTATAGGCTGAGTCCTAGGCTCCTGACTTGGGCTTGGCTCAGGCATGGTTAATGTTGGTCTTTGGGGAGTGAACAGATAGATGGAAAATGTAGTTATTTAAAACAGTTCGAGTTCTAGTTCATAGGATATTTGATATTTTTACGCGCAGCTAATGCCCGCAACCTGGTTCTTTACCATGAGCTGAAAACACCAGACGCAACGAGGTATCTTAGGACGCTTATTGCAGCAGGGCAGGAACGGGGTGGAGGTGGTGGAGAGAAAATCGGGAAAGGGAAGGGGAGAAAGGGAAAGGAGGCCAGAAGGAGAAGAGAAAGAGAGAGAGACACATACACACACATACACACACACACACACACACACACACACACACACACACACACGCACACGCACGCACACGCGCACCTGGGGGCCTTATTGTCCGCAAGGTGTGGGGGGATCCAGGGCAGGCCCCCGGGGATTGGTGCCTGCAGGTGAATGTCTAGGGATGATTGGTGAGTGGGCGGGGTTGCTGGAAGATTGGGGGTGGGATTCTCAGGTG